GTTATTAGATGTACATATCGGCCTGTAAGTAAATGGAAAAACAAACGTAATGAAACATCACCAAAATACTACAGAAATCATAATTGAGTTTTAAGTTCTTAGATATATTTTACACCTGATGATGGTTTTATAAAAACCGAAACATGTTGTGTAAATGTTCCGAAATGTAAATCGATCAATCGATATGGAACATCAATGATATTTTATTATCTTAATTATAAGAAATTTTAAATATTGTGATCAGACGGATTAAAATAAATAATTCTTTATATGAATATTAAATCTTTTCATTTAAGCTTATAATCGAGTGTCATTTCATTGGCCAAGTTGTACAGTTGTACTGCCTTCTTGAGACTATTTTACACTGCGTCACCCGCTAGGATACTTCCTGTATCCTACAAATTACGATATTGAGGGTTCCAAACAACGCTGTCTTGCACTTGTAACAGAACTTCGTATTTAGAACCTTTCAAGAAGTTTTATTGCGTCTGTCCAGGTTACAGAATCAGTTTGTGTTGGCCAATCCGTTAACATTTATCTGTATCTATCATCGGCGGTCGATGATTTTTTTTTAAATCAGCGACTCTATCAAAAAATAATTATTCATTTCGTTGCCTGTCAGCTGTCATTTTGACAGAAAGAGAGGGCGAATGTACCCTTTAATGTGTCTTTTGAAAGATTATTTTCGATTAAACATGTTGTCTGTTTGCTGTCTACGCATTAAAGTGAATTAAACTCACACATGGCCAATGGACTCAAAATATTTGCGCATAATTTTATTAATTAATAAACATCAAGCAAACTTCTGCATGACTATCTTCGGATAATAACGGTGCCTTATATCAAAATCTTTCATAAAATTAATAACATGTGAAAATCTAGATTTCAACCCTTAAGTAAAGTGGGCCTCAAAATAAATTAAATATACACGATAACTCACTTATAATTTAAAAACCTAGTTTCGGGCACTGACGTGTTTATGTATGCATATTGGTTTGAAATTAAACAAGTAAAAAGTCATTGTTTCATATTAAGGTAATGTGATATGATAATATTAAAAAACAGTAAGGTTTTCTCGTCCTTTTTATGATTTTTTTTTAAATTGGTAACTTATTAAGTGTAATATTATAGCACTGTTACAAGCAGTGGCCATTTCTTGCGGGGACTATGGAAAAGTCATACAGAACACGTGAGATTTCATGTGTTTTCTGCGACGAAAATAAAGACGAATGTGTTCTGGGATGTTGAGCCATGTAGTCTGGTAGAAGTTTAATGACGTTTCAGAGGTGCGTACCGCCTTTATCATCACCCTAATGATGTAGGTTGTAAGCATATCTGAAACGACGTAAAATTCTACCAAACTACATGGCTCCACATTCCAGTAGACAATAATCTTCATTAATAATGCATCACCTCCGGGCCGGTATTTGAACGTGGGAGCTTCCAGAAACAAAGTAGGGGTGCCAACCACCACACTGCGACGTTCATTTAATAGCAAAACATATTGTACTTCATGTAAGAAGGAGTTTCGGATTTCTGAGTGCTGTTATTGAAGTTAATTTACAGTACTAAGAATTTCGGTCCAATATCGTTCTATGAAAAGGGTAATGTCCTAAAATTACGCCTTCTATAATTAGATAATACTGTTGTAGCATCTGAATCATATCTTTCTTTTCTCTTTACAGTGGAATTGGCGAACGAGTAAGTTCAAATTGGGTCTCAGATGATATCGTCGC